AGTATTCTAGTTCTCCTCCACATAGTGATTAAGGGACCCTTCTAGTTTACAGCTTACTATTAATAGCTCTTGCCCAGGGCCTTGGAATCTTCTACCTCCAGCAACAAGCTAAGAAAATGTGATTAGGGAATTTTCTAGCCAATGATATGCATGTTTTATTGAGGCCTCTTCTGACTACCCCAGTGTACAGTAGTCCCTTAAACATGGGGCTAGGGAGATGTGTGGTGAATGTCAAAATACACTCACATCCTCCAGGCTCACATGCCTGCCCCATGACTCTGTTTCTTGCATACAGAAAGCATGATGGGCTGGTTATGCAAGATGGGCACACTTTACCACCATACCTGAGCCTGAGCTTGAGCAGATTATTTGAACTTCCTAAATCTTAGCTTCCCCATCTGGAAAATGGAGCGCATTGTAGTATGTTTCACAGGGTCCTGTGGCAAACTTTAAAAAATATGTGAAATATTTAGGACAGTCCCTGGAACATAAACATGTTTAATAAATGTGAGCTATTTTGCATACACCTTGCTTTAACCAGCCTTGTCAGAATGTCTACTGCACCTCTGACATGCCCCAGACCTTCTACTACAACAAAAGAGCAAATTCTTTCCTTATGGCCAGCTTCTTGGGTGTGCAATCTGTGCAGTTGCACAGGGCCCATGCTCAGAAGGGCCGGGTGCTTGGGGCCTGTCACTCAGTTTAATCCTCTGTTGTCACCATATTGAAATTCCTGACAATTTCATTTCTGAACTTGTGTTTTGTAAATGAAAGCTGATGGGGCAAGGCAGCATGTGCATGAACAGAGGAAATACAGGTAACAAGCATACCCACTGCCATTCTTCCTTGTTCCACTCACACATAGCATTCTTGATGGCCCATGGGCACAGAATTCCAGAGGACACAAAATATGTAGTGATTCGGCAGAACTCAAATTGAGTATGAATTTAGCATGTGTATCTGTGAGGAAGTGGAGACACTGACAAACCCAAGAGGCCATGCTTTCCATTCCAGTCAGAGCTTGCTTTGAGCACAAAAAGAAGGCAACAACCAAAGAACCCTCTCCTGTCCTTTCTTTCTTGTGTTACTCCTCTGTAACCACTTACTTTGAAAATAATGACATAGAAGGAAAGGGAAAGACAGGGCAACTCATAGTTCCTTTTCCTTTCAGAACTTCCTGACTCATCAGTAAGCCAAAGGTAGAGTGTTGGTGGAATGGGCACATAACAAGAAGTCAAATAAAAATAGTTTTGTGCTATGCTTTCCATTGTTTTGGTAAGAATAAAGCACATATGCATATATGAGCTATAAAATACATATACATGTATGAACTACAAAATTGAATAGTGTAATATTTTGGATTTTGCATATTAGTTAAATGCTCTTATATTTGCATTTAAAATTGACATTGTACAATATAATGAAGAATGGTAAACTTTGTGCTAATTATTTAAAACATTTCATTTTCTTTACTTAGGATGATATGAAATAGCAAATAAAAAAATACCATGATAATTCCAAAAACAGAATGTGGGCAAAAGAAGCTAGCTTTATATTTTGTACTTTTAGTGGTACTTTTTCTCTGCTTTTTGAAAAAAAAGGTCCCACATTTTCATTTTGTACTGGGCCTTGAAAATAAGATATCCAGCACTGTCTTTCTCTCTCTCTGACTTCTTCTAAAAGTTCCCCCTGGTTACCTTCTGCAGGAAGTCTTGCCCGATCCTCAGATTCTTCCTGGGCTATCTTGACCTCCCTGCCAGCTCTCACACAACAATTTATATTTATAGCTTTCTCATTGGGCCCTCACTCTTGAATTAGTTAATTTTTACCCTGTTATCTTCCCTAAGAGTCTGTCTTTCCTGAAGGGCCAGGATAGACTTTACATTCTTATCCAGCTGCTATGGACCAGAATCACTGGGGCCCTCATAGCAAAAACAAGCTCCAGGAACTAACAATGAACTGATAGAATTTCTGGGGCTATGTCATTTGGCTACACAGCCAGCTTGAGAGTAGTTGAATAAATGAAAGAATACCAATAGCTCCAGTCCTCCAATCCCAATGCCCCTGGTGAAATATGGCCCATCCTTGATGGACTGGTTAAGTGCCCCCTCTTTCAGTGAACTGTCCCCTCATGCCCACATTTCCTGACCTCAAGTCCCTTTCCATGTATTCATTATCTTTGACATCTAGAAAATTCTAATTAGAATTTTGCTTCTGTGATAAGACTCTGGTAACATTGAGGGCACAGCAGGACCAGGACTAGGTTTAGGTAAGAAAGACACTCATCTCAGGTGCAAAATTTAAGGGGATGACCAAAATAACTCAGTAATCAAGAGAAATTACAGTTTAATGCCATATTTTAAAAATAAAAATTCATGCAACAATCTCATCCACGATGAACAATATATCAAAATTTTAAATAAATATGAGCTCAAGCCCTGTACTTACACCACTGGCCTCCCTCACTTTTGGCTAATCCCAGCCCTGCGAGATCCTACGTTTTATTCATTTTCTTGCCCCGGCAGTTGCTGAATGAATAAATATAGGAACAAAATTGCTTCCTTGAGTTGAGCCATCAGCTTGAAATTTATAGATCCTGGTGATGAAGATGGCTAAGGTAGAATGTGAGTGTGAGTCCTGAAATGTGCCCTCCCAAGTCAGCTGCGTTGGAACACAGGGCCATATCATCTAAAGTTTGAATGACATGTTCTGCCTTCAGTCAGGTCCTCCATTGTCCTACCTTGCATAAAACCACAAAAAGAAATGCCACAATCTGTTGGTAACACGTCTTTACCATCATGTAGCCTGTGAGACTGCTCTCAGAGGGCCTGTTCAAATGGAATCCCAGGAGTTCATGTTGTTCCAATAATACTGCATTAGAATTGTCCTCCCCCATAGTCTGATGACATTGTTACAACCATGGCCTCATGAATTGTTTGAATAATGCCACACTATGGATTTAATTGATTCTTTATTTCTGACATTTCCAGGCAAAATGAGATCAGAAAGACAAAGCCATTTGAACAAAGAGAAACAACAGTTTTTGTTATACTTCATCCTCTGTATGCTTCCTTCTTAAAGAAAGAATTTAGCTCCAAGTTATAGTCAGGAAGCAGAAAAAATAAACAGCTCCAGTAGGTTTCAGGGCCTACCATGCACCTTGTGAGGGAAGATCGGCGTCACCTCATCTCCCGGTATTACTAAGTTGTTCACACAACTGCCCGAAGACCCTGTTGTCAACAGTCCAACAGTCATGGCCCACCTGCACCAGCCTTTTTCCTCAGGGGCCAGCTTTTGCACCCGCAGTCAGCCACCAGGGGGCCGCCTCTGAGGAACAAGTGGTGTAGACTCCACAGCTTTCCTCCAAACCAACCAAAACATTCCGGGGCAGCTTTGGAGCAAAGCCCAGGAACTTCCCTGCAAAGGAGAACAGCTCTCCAGCTACAGAAGCCTGCAAGTCCTGTGATGCAGCCTTATTAAGACAGAAGAGTAAAGCACCGGTTTCTCGCCAAGGACCGAAGGGAAATGGGGTCGGTGGGGTCCACACCTTTCTCTCTTGAAATGCGCTGAAACCCTGCTCATCCAGATGCAGGGAACAGCCTCAGACTTCTTGACAGTTGTGGTTGTGAATGCTGTCAGCAGGGGTGGTGGCCTCTCCCGCCTTTCCCTGGGACGCTTCCAAAAAGCTGGAATAAACCACACATGTCACTGGCTGGAAATCTAGAAAAATCTACAATAATCTATATACATTGTTCTGCAGTTGAGAACACAAATCGGCATAGCTCTATTACATTGCGTGTTACACGAATAAATGTGTATATTGAAATATGAAGTCGGAATTATTTGAATATTGTCTATATGAAAATAATTGTATTCTGATGAAGTGGGTTTGTTGCAACTATAGGTGTCCCCGGGTACTCGGTATTTTCCAAGTATTCTAGCTCAGAATGCAAGTCTCCTCCTTCTTTATTCTCCCAACCTGAACCCTTGGCCTTCAGGACTTGAGGTCAGGGGTATTTGGGAGATCTATATTTGCCCGGGTCAGGAATCTTGAAGAGTATAAATTATTTTTGTCTTCCGGGTTTTATTTGTACATTTCCAGGGCAAAGATAAATTAATGGGGCGGCCCTTCTGGTGACCTGCGAGGAGTGTCTAAACCCTGTACACCCCTCTCCCACGACGTGCACAACGGTGGCGGTGGAGAGTGTCCCCCTTAAAGGCAAGCCAGGCATTTCCCAAACTTCTATTCTTAGGGTAGTGGTGGTAGTAAGAGAACGGACAGATGGCCAGGGCAGCGGAGACCCCAAGAGCAGCCAGCGCGCCTTGACGTCCCGACACGCGCCACAAGTGGTTTGGGAGCCATGGGAGGAGCGCGGCGGCGTGGGGTCGCGCCGGTCGGGCCGGGCAAAGACCGTGCTCCCGGACGTTCGCTCTCCCGCCCCCTCGTCGCCGTCCCCCATTCCTTCCTCTTCTCCAAACGACGCCCAAACCCAAACCTCCGTGCGCATGCAGTCTGGTGGGTGGACGCGGGTCCACCAAATCCACAGCAACGTCACCAACCCTGGGAGGGCACGGCTGGGATTCAGAGGGGAGCGCCCACACCTGGGGAGGCAGGTGCGGAGGTGGCCGGCCCGGGGATGGCGTGTGCGTAGGACCCAGGGTAGGGGTCAGCAAGCCGGGCGCTGCGAGCGCGTCCCAGCGGCCGCCCAGAACCAGGAGGGGGGCGTCGGTACCCGCCTGGCGGCCCGGGGCGGTGGCGGCGGCGGCGGGGTGTGTGGCCAGGAGGCCATTTCCTCGCTGCGCCCCTGGCGGAGCCGGGTTTGCCTGCTCTTGGCCGCTGCCGCCGCCGCCGCGCGAGTCGGACTACCAGGAGGACAGGAGGGGAAACCAGGTCACAGGTTCGCAGACGCGGCGCGGAGCAGGCGCCCCGGGCCCGGAGTAAGGCAGCGCGAGGGGAGCGGGCCGGGGCGGGCCGGGCACGCTGGGGGCCGGGAGAGGCGGGGACTCGGGTGCCCCGGCCACACTCGCTTCCTACGCCTATAAAAGTGGAGTGGCCGGGGAGGGCCGGCGCGGCCCTGGCTGTGGCCGCCTCTCTTCGCCCAAGGAGTTGACATTTTGCAGGACTTGCGCGACGCCCCGTCGCCTGCGCTCCCCGGGACCCCGCCGCCGGGAGGAGGGGGCGGAGGAGGGTGGAGACTGCGGGGCTTGGCCAAGGAAGGCGCACATCCTCGGGCTGGCGGCCGTGACGCGGCGAAGATTAACTTTGCATGAATAATGTGAGTGCGCTTGGAAAAGAGACCTTCTGCTCCCGGACTCCCCGGGCAGGCGCCCGCAGGCTGTCTTCCCGGGCAGGGGCGCTCGACCCGACCGGCTCGAGGGCACTGGTAAATTGGCTAGAGGACCGCGCGGAGGCAGTGGGGGGGGGGGGATAAAGGGGAGAAGGGGGCGACAGTTCCAACTGTCCAGAAGGGTGGGCGGGATGGTGACAGGGTGTCTGTCGCAGGAACCTGGAGGGGTGACGGCGGCGAAGCTTAGTGCGCGCGGGCGGGCAGGTGTGGGTGGGTGGGGGGTTGTCATCCGCCTCAGTACCTGCCTCCGCGGGGTTTCTGCGCCCCGGATCTGAGAGGAGGTGCCCTCTCGTGTTCGGGCACCGCGCGGCTGCAGGCAGGGAGCCACGGCGTGGGCAGTAGGGGAACAGGGTGGCTGGGGGCCCCCTCCAATCGCAGCCCGACTCTGTTCCTTAAACCCCAAGCCCAGCTGTTGACATGCTCCTTGTGAAATGGAGTTTGGCATCCTCAGCGCCGAACCGAGTGGAAGTTTCCATGATGAGGAAGTTGTGTGACACGGGGGTTCGGAAAAGGTTGGCAGGCACAGGGGGGAGGGTTCAAGGGACTGTGGGTCTCCCATCCCCCTTTTGTCTCCTGCCCCGGAACTCCGGGGCTTGGAAAGGAGAATGATCCTGAATGTTGGCGTGCGCCCGTTGCCGGTGCTTGGCGACTCGGCTTCTCTCCGCCTCCCGGGGGATCGGTGGCGATTTCGCTCGTCTCTGGGTCGCGCTCGTTTTCTTTGCTTGTCTTGACGCAGCATCTTCCTCTGGGTCGTCTCGAGTTGGTTGTGTACCAGTTGTGCCACCTGTGCGACCTCCACCCTCTGGAGGAAGGACTAATTTGGGGGAGTTTTCATTCTTAGTGGATTTCGTCCTTCTTAGCTGTAGTTGTCATTTTGGGGGAGGATGTCCCAGTGACCATTGTGGCTTTATTATTAGTGCCAATTCTTAAGCCTTCTGATTTGTTTTAAGGAGGCGGGGGTGGGGGAGAGAAATGGGGTGAGGTTTTAAAAAAATTATTAAAGATGGAATGTATAATTTTCCCCAAATAGGAAATTTTAGAAGAAGCGTCTAGAAGCAAAACAATTCGTCAAGTGAGTCAGAGAAAAGAGTTTACCTGAACAGCCAAGTTCAGATTCTCCATCCTCCTTTCTCCACACACATCTAGAATTTGTGAAGATTCAAACACTATGACTGATCAGTAAATACATTTTAAATAAATTCTTGCTTGTAATCTGTTACTGGTCTTAGGTACAAGTCAAATTCAGTGTTAAAGACCTGTTTTGAAGTTAAAGAAATTAAGCATTCGTTGGACAGTGTACTAATGTCAAGCACAGCAATTTTTATAATGATAAATGTACTAGGTAATAGAGACCTGTTGGGCGATCTTTACTTATTTGGCCTTTGTTCAGAATGCTTATTTACTTTATAATAATATATAGCATGCACTGAATTGCAAAGGAATAAAAATTACATTTTAGTCAAAATGTTTATGATTCATCCTGAATATTCAGAATGACCGACCTACTCCTTAATTCACTTCTGCTTAATTCTTTCTAATTCTGAAACAAGTCAGAGGCTAGGAAAAATTAACAAAAAAGGTGTTTCAATGCAAAGTATTTTGAGCAGTGAATGTTTTTAGGATATTTTCATGCCAGGTGGCTAAAGTGTTTTAATTGATGCTAACAGAAATTCAGTAGTATGTGATTTGTTTGGGGTATTTTATATGAAAGCACTGGTGAACATCATTTATTATTTGTACATGTTAAGCAGATACCAGCAGAATTTATTTTTAATTCATTTCTAAGGTTTATTTTATATTGGAAGTGGGACCATCTGCTAGTAAATACAATTTGGTTTTCTTTGATTGCAGGTGAAAATAACTGATACTGAATTTAGCTACAGACTGCTTTGGGTTTTTTACGAAGTAATTCCAGTTGGCATCACAATGCTAAGGTATAATTTTATTGACATTGGAATGTTGCTATATGAAGTAACTGATACCCCCAAGAAGAATAAATATTCCATTTCTCTTTTAGCTGCCTTGTAGTAAATTCTGCTATAATTAGAGATGAATTAAGACAACACCCTTATAATCCAGTATCTTGGGGGAAAGGTGATTTCTTGAAATCTCCTTAAGTACAGAGAAAGTTGTGGATCCCTTTCTCTCCCTGGGGTTTTTACAGTTGTTTGAAGCATGAAGTATGTGGAGACACAAATGGTACTGCATGTTTCTTTCTTTAGTAAGGTTTTCTTTTTGATGGAAATCAGAGTAAAGGTGATTGGTTTCTTAGCTCCATTCTTCTCATTGTAGTTTAAGATTGTGTCACCTTCTTACAAAGACCTTCCCGACCACTTGAGCAAGGGCAGTCTCTCATTTCTTTTCAGAACCATCACACCATGTTTTTGTTTTCTTATTTTATCTTCCTTGGTCTTATTTGCAATCTGAATTGTTCATTTCAGTGGCTACTTGTTGATTACCTGTCTCTCCTGTCTAGACTATAGAGTCTATGAGAACAGGAGTCTTGACTCCCTCACTCACTCCTGATTTTCCAGCATCTAGAACAGGAATTGGCACATAGTAGGTGCTAGATAAATCTTGGTTGAATAAATTAATACAATGTTCTCAAAAATACCTGACTTAGCATCCTAGGTGGGTGTCAACTGGGCATGCCAAAATCTGTGCAGTGTGTGTGTATGCACATGTACACGCCATGTGTATATGTTTCAATCTTTGTTTATTTTTATCCCTTTCTTCTCTTTGAAACAAAAGCTGGCCTGCCATTCTGTGTAGTAACAATGCAGAGAGTTATTTCCACAGATTTCTCCTGAGGGCATTTGCCTTGCTTATGGGGAAATCCTCAGCAGCAGTTTGGCTGACATGTTACCTTGATTCTCTGAAGATGTTGACCTTCAACTCCCTGAATTTTAGCATATGTGTTCCACAGGCATTCTCACTGCTAAGAGCAAAATTCCAGGGACCAGACATCAGTGGGTGATAGCAGTGTCTTCTCTCTCAGCCGGTCCTGGCAATACCTCTGGCCTTGGCAGCCTTGAGGGAACTAAGAGCATGTAGTGGTATAGTTTGGGTTGCAAAAGTGGTGGTTGGGGAGGGGGCAAAATGAGACTGTCAGGATCCAACACAAATAAAGAGCCATTGGTGATCGATTTGGAAACAACCTGATACTTACCGTATGTTGTAAGTTGTCAGCCAACCTCTCCCCTCTTTTTCCTCTTTTCAGTTTCATAAATAACTCTGAACCAGATGATTATGGGAAATATCGCATTACCTGGAGTTTTCAAGTGGCCAGAGCATGATACCCAAGGGGTCATCTTCAAATTATTCATGGAAACTCTTGCCAATTGGAAGCAAAAGGAAATTATAATTAAAGATTATGACAATTTGTTTTTGTTTATAGAATATCAACTTTCAGAATGTGTCTGAGTAAATGCATAGCAAAAATTCCACAAAATAATGAGACTGTTGAAAATGGGAGGGGAAGAAAGATCAAAATCTTGTGGAGGAAGGAAGATAATGACACTAAAATCCTAAGTGCTTAATGCTTTAGAGTATTTTATTTAGCTCTGAGCTTCTTAGTAGCCAAGTTAACAGAAAAGAAAGGAGGGTGGGGGTCTGGAGATGGCATGCATTCAAGTTGTAAGGATGACATATGCAGAGGGCCCAGCATGGTGTCTGGCAACTAGTATACACGCATATGAAATATCAGCTGATATCATGGATAATACTTGAACTTCGATTTTACAGAAAACGAAGTAAGGTTCTTTATTGCAGTCATGTCTATCACCAAGTCTGAAGGGGAAAAATGCAGAAGGCATAATGATGAACAGTAACCCAGCATGGGTTTATTTCTATGTCCATAAACATCACTGAACAGGTGGCCCCTGATGCTTTGTTCCTTAGTCTATATAGCTCTTATTATGTTGCAGGAAGCTTGTTTCCATTTCTGTCCCCACCTCTAAATTGTGATGAGGTGCTTTGTGTGCGTTTATTCATCCTGGGCTCCCTAGTGACTAGCAAAGAGCTTGGCACATGAGCGCAGATGAAACACTAGGAATAATGAATGGAAGAGGGAAAGGGTGGTGCTTCTCTTTCCCTTCTATGTAGGCATTAAGAGTCATCTTCTGACTTGGTTTTGCCCAAAGTGGATGTGTGCTCCCTGGCTTGCATCATATGTCCAGATCACAGCTGACTGTTTTGCTAGAAGGGCTTGTTCTAGTGTCAAAGCTGGTCGAGGATGGATGGCAAGTTACTCCTCGCTCTCTTTAAAGCCATTTTGATTCTTTGATTTGATTCCTCATTCAATCTACAAATATTTGTATACCCACTCTGTGTCTGGCCCTGCTAGTCATTTCTCAGCATGCAGCCTAGTGACCTATGAGACAATGTGCATATGTTGAAACAAAGGGATTCTGAAATTATCTCCACTGTGATTAAGCAGATAGGCCTACTAGAGTCTCTCATACAGCCCCCTAGATGAAATAAGGTTATTTTATTTCTGAGAAGGTGAGTGTTTTGTGATTCCTGCAGTCATGTGTATTAGTGGAAATTCCAATGAGATTAACCCAAGATTCTCTTGTGTCCAAGTGGTGTAGGGCTGAATATGTTTAAGCTGGGGAGTTTCTGATTTAGAATGTTCATTATCCAATTTAAGTTCCCAAACTTGTTAGTCAATTATGGCATTTAAGCAACTGGGGGGGGGTTGGGGGGAGTATCCAAATCACTGAGTCACAAGTAATGCATATCCTACTCTCAGGAATCTGGCCAACTGACAGCTAGAATAGTGATTTACGTTCAATGCCAATGTTGTTTGGTCCCTACTGTCCTAATTTCAAGGGACTTTGGAGTCTTTATGTACTGGCAGTTCCACTTGTGCAGTACTATTTTTATTGAGTGATAAACTGAGCTCTGCTGTGAACTTAAGTATCTTTTTCAAATAGCAAATCAGGAGAGTCTGGAATTAGGATCCAAGAACCTTGACTCTCTGTCTTGGGAATCATATTATAGCTTTTCTATTGTGACAGTCAGTCCTAACAGGA